AGGAGGCTCATTTGCCACTGTTTCACACACCAGACAACTCCTAATACTTGTTTTTTCTCTTCCTTCTTCGAGTGAACTCTCTGATTGCCTTGATAAGGTAACAATCAGTTAAGGAATTACATTCGATTCTTTTGTAAAATTTAGTAGGGTCAGTGTTGTATTCGGAGAGGAGAGTCTTTGTAGAGCGAAGGATTGCCAAAACGCATCCTCACGATTAAAGATTCGCAATACAAAGCTTGCTACGGAGGTTCTGTCCAATTCTCTTCTCTTTTACTGCTTTATTTATTGCTTTATGTATGCAATATGAAATAAAGTCATGTAGATAGCCATTTTTAACATTATGCAATAAAATAGGGTAATCGCGTAATTTCTCGTAATCTTTACTTAAATGAATTAATCCGTCATAGGGAACCCGAAAGGGGCGTTGTGGGGTGCTAACACCTTCCCCACACGTAACTAACTCCCTTACCTAACTCCGGTTACAATGACCAAGTTTGGTTTTTATTAAAATCAACGTCTTTTTATCCTTTTCCAATGTTTACGGTCAAAACATTGGTGGCGACTCCATAAGAACCCCTTTTCGAAAACCTTGCTTTTATTAGAGGATAGTTCAATTGTTGAGCACCTCGGAAGCAATGACCATAATTTTAACATAAAACGCGAGTCTAAACCATCTTTTCGCGACCGCTCGCATAAACGTTCGAGATGTCCCTAGACGTCGGAACGGACGGCGGCGACATAACATCACCCATAAAAACGTGAAAAATGGAAAGTCAGAACCATCGTGTCGCTCCGATAGCCTCTTTTTGACGGCAGCGACATCTGCACTATGTACAAAATACGTACTATGGTCAAAATGTGACCTAGATTCGAAACATGAACTATATATGAAATACACTATGCGAATCGTATATGATACTTATGCCAACATACATAAACGTGCTATTTTGTAGGGATTTATACTAGATCGGAGGCGATTCATCATTTAGCGAAAATAAATCTCTATCAAGTGAATAAGAATAAAGATGACTACAACATTCATAAAACATAAATATTGTTTAAGTAGTGGATACAAAATAATAATTGTTTTGAATTACAAAATAGGCACCCTCAAATAAACAGAATACTTAGTGTCAGAAATTAGGTGCTTGAATCTTCATTTTCCTCATCTTCATTCTCTTCATCTTCATTCTCCTCATCTTCATCTTCATCGTCTTCTTCAACGATCATTCCATCTACCACACTTTTGACAAGGTCGGCTAGGGAGAAGTCAACCTCGGGGGCGATGACTTTAGTTTGTTCCAAAGCGTTATCAAAGCCCGACTTGAACATTTTAGCACAATCATCAAATAAATCTTCAATCTGTCAGACCTGATCTTTTATTTGAATGTTTAGATCCTCAATTTTCTGGTTGCGATCACAAATCTTGTATTTTGCTTCTTCCAAAAGGACCTTATATTTTTTTCTCGTTTACCACAGCGTCATCTCGTTCTCTCTCTAGCTGACGGAACTGATCCTGTAATTGGCTAAGTTCGTCTTTTAGAATCTGCATCTGGACTTGAGTTTGATTGAGTTTATCTTCTACTTTCTTTTCTTTATCTTCTTTATCCCAAGCCCGTTGTTCTAGTATGGAAAGCATTGCCATTGTCTTGTTTACAGCGGCTTGGCTTAAACCAGTCAACTCTAAGGAAGACATATCATTTAAAATCCCACGGTCAGGGGCTAAGGACCCTACGAGCCATTTGTCTCCTTGGTCATCGGCTGGAGGTAGAGGATGACTAGTGGCTTCAGTCACAACCTCTCTTAATTTGACGATTGGAACTGATTGAGTATCATCGCGTTTCCTTTTTAATGCCTTCTCATGCTTTGATCCTGAACTGCTTTCCTTTTTGTTACCAGCTTCACTTTCTCTACCTTCTAAAGCTCGGATTCTTCGGTTAAGAGCTTTCTTGGACAAAGACATTTTTTTTCTGCAGAGAAGTAATCATTATTACAGACTGTAATACATAGTTTACAGAATCAAAGTAAAAGGGGAGATGGAACTTATACCTATAAAAAGTCTTCAGTCTAGTGGTCTGCCCTCTAATTTAAGAAGTTGGGCTGTATCGAAAATTGTTTGTAACTCATCGAGTAATGTGTAATTTTTGGCATCTTCGGGGGAGAGCTCGTCCAAAGCAAGGAGTATTTGGCCACAGGGTCGTTCAGTCCAATATAGGGAAAATCCCTCTAGTAGGGTTTTCTGGGTTTCGGGAGCACGAATTTTTATAAATCTACCTTTAAAATATCTGTAAGATGATTGGAACAAAGATAGAAATGTCCAACCCCCTACACTACTAACAGATGCCCAAGAGGTCCATTTAGAAAGACGAAATTCGAAGAAGTATTGGTACATAGAGATATTCGGTTCAAAACCAAAATGTTTACATAGGATGGAAAATCCTCGGATAAAAGCCCAACTATTAGGATGGAGTTGGGCCGGGGCCACATTAAGGGTGGTCAGGACCGATTTGCTAAAATCATCAAAGGGTAAGCGAACTCCTAACTTAATAAAAAGGGTATCATACATAAAAAAGAAAGGATTCAGGTCCGATTCTTGGTTTCTACATATAGGTTCATTAACCTCACAAACTTTTACTAGAATGCTACTTTCTTCGCCAAAATGGCTTAATCCTTGAATATTTCTAAATAGTTTGAGTTTCTTGCTGCTAGAGTAAATGGTAAACTCATTTAGGATATCAGATTTGGCCCAAGGGTACAAGGATTTGTTATCCAAGCTTCTAGAGCTCGCACTAGGGAGAGGGGAAGAAGAATGTGACATTAATAGTATGGGTAAACGATAAAGGTTTAGAACAACGACTCAACAATCACGACACAAGAATAGAGAGAAACAGAAGTACGAACATAGGAAACGAAGGCGAACGGTGAATAAAGAAGTATTATGTAATATCAAAAGAGACAGAACAACAAAGAGAGAAATGAGAAGCGATACCTAAAAGGCTCAGAGTAGATTAAGAAGATGAACGGAAGTTTAAAGGGTTGAAAGCTGCGCGAAGCGAAGAGACGAAGGGAGGAGGGAAATAAAGCGTTTTGGAGGAAGTAAAGCACAATGAATAAAAACGCGAAGTAAAAAGTGTAGGCGCGAATTTTAAAGTGTAGGGTGTAATATGTCAGATGATATGACATTTGTTTTTTGGAAGATGAAACGTTTGAAAATTTGAGACCGAGTGAAATAACATAGAAAATGAAATGTTTGAGGCTTGGTCAAGAAGGCAAAGGTCATGATGTACACATATCCAATATTGAATACTTCGGGATGACATCCACTTACAATTGAGACCAATTATTTTTTAGAGGATAATAGGTGGGATATTTATTTCAATTAACTATTTTTTAGAGGATAATAGGTGAGATATTTATTTCAATTTTATTCTTTGTATTAAAATATCTTTTTAATTAAATATTAGGGGGCTGTGGTGCGTAAATAGAAATTGGATCCGATGGAGCCAAAATGTAAACATTAATAAAGTAGGTCAAATAGATCCAAAAAGGAAGACAGAGTTAACCATTACTTAATGGGCCCGAGATATAAGGATAATTAAGAATGAGGCGATATCGAGACCATAATATACTTGGAAACAATAAAAACAAACTAAATGATTAATAAAAAAAAAAAACGAAAAAGATAAAAAAAACATCTCTATTTTATTTCCGAATTATATATATATATATATATATATATATATATATATATATATATATATATATATATATATATATATATATATATATATATAACTAAAAAAACTAGTTCAGAATTAGATTTCAATTCTTATTATATTTCTAGCTCTTGACAATTTGGTTCTTAAAAATGAAATTCAGACTTACATAATAAATATATCTATTTTGATAAATATAATGGAAGAGATCTATTTGGGTAATTAATAATATTTTAATATTATTAAAAAAAAAAATCACAGCGTGTTACATGGTCCTAATTACAAATATACACAGATGTATATATTTACAACTAAATAATCATTTTAATTAGAGAATTTAAAAATACATTATTCTTAAGTCTCGAGACTTCTACATTATTTTTTTCATAACTATGCATTACTTAGGAAAAAACAAGCCTAACTCAATGTGACTATACTGAATTAAAAATTAGACTAATTTTAAAATTATATTGAGATATAAATAAAAAGTTTCTTTCTTAAAATTGCGACAATTAATAAAAATTTTCTATTAACAAAAACAGAAAAATGATTGGTTCTTGGAAATAAACAACCTTTTACAAATTAAATATTGTCATCTTTCCGATTTTAGTTATTGATAATTCAATATATTTTTCACTTGATAATACTATAATTAAATCCTATATTAATGTTTTCATTTATCTCAATCATTTTCCTAACACTTTAGATAACAAAAACAGTGGGGATAAAATCTCTAAGTAGTACAAGGTTGCGGACATATCTAGCGCTAGCAAACAAGATCCTGCGCTGATACCCCTTAAATAATAAGCATTTAGTTACAAGTCCCACACGTCAGAAACACAAACATTTGTAACTCTATAACGGTCCATAGATGATAGCTCAATCGCAGAAAACACAACAAAGATTTCCATAGAAATAAATCCAGTAATGGTCCAAAAATCAATATCAAACCCCACACGATCTGAAACACTTTAATAACATGCATTTACTCTCAGGAACAACACGTCAGACATCACAAAAACTTCCAAGAACATAAATCCAATAGTGGACCATACCAAAACACAACACCATCACAAAATATCCAAACTACCCTACATCAACTATCCCTCTAATAATAAGAACAGAAAATAAAAAAAGACGAAGAAACTGTGATAATCATAGTTGAAGCAATACAAGCCCATCATGGGACATAACTAACATGCTTAAACAGCAAAACAAATGACAAAATGTGCTTATCAAAGACTTATTTGTCGTCAACGCTTGAGAAAGGCAACAAAAGATGAGCTAGTAGCCCCACATGCAATCAAGCTCCGACACCCCCAGTGGCATGTTGGAGGCGGCATCAACCAACCTTTGTTCCTCCGGCATCGACCAAAGGAAGTCACCGGAACCAACGCCAGGGAAGGGCTGTGCCACCGGGGGGAAAAAGAACGGCAGCTGAAGGTTGTCTTGCAGTGACCTTAAACTTGGGAAGGCAGAGACACCAACGTTTCTCTGAAACCGAGCAAAGGGGTCCGATGCAAGAGGCTGGGAAGGTGGAAGGTCGAAGCTAGCATTGGTGAAGTTGTTTGGGGAGACGACAGCAGCGTTGGCTGCAGCGATTGTGGAGAAACAGGACACGTGCTCCTTCTTGGTGGTGCTGTCATAGGAACAATTATTGCGGTCGTTGAAGTTAACTGTGGTGTAGGGAGATGAGTCTAGAAGAGGTGGTAGGTAAACCGAAGAGGGTGAACTTGGTTCCGGGCAGAGAGAGGTGTTGATGGTACTCACTCTTGTTTTTTTGGAGCCACTCGAAGCAGACATGGTGGAGCATCCGTTGGTTGTGTTGCTCTTCTTGAACACGCGTGAGATAACCCATTCGTCCTTCATTAAATCACAACGATTCGTATTAGTGAAATGTACCACACCAACAACTATAACATTATGCATTAATGCATGTAGCACAACTGCATATAAAACATAAGTGTTCATAAATTGTTTTGATAGGAACATAGTCGATTGTTAAAAGCTGTTCCTGTAAAAATCTTGTAAAGCCTTTGAAAAATGGAAATAATCACGTTGTAATTAGCTTGGGATTCTGATACTCATGCAAACATAAGTGCTCACAGAAGAATTGAGAAACTTTACAAGTTACCTTTGGGGTAATGACAGATGATCACAAGTTATAACAAACATTTGTTGAGAGAAGATTGAACGAAAACAAACAACGGAAGAGGAACAAAATCTTAATCGAAAACCAGAACATGGAAACAAATGAAAGCGGAAACTCTTTCAACATTGGTAACTGGAACCTTCGTATGGAAGGCTAAACGAAATCCAGATTCCACCTAACTCTAGTTATTTCACTGCAAATTTGGATGGTGAAAATGCGGCTTATCATGGGTAAAAAGTACACGTTCTTCAGTACTTGTGTGTATAGAAAGGCAACAGAAGATAATAGATAGTAGAAAGATTCAGTAATTATATAAAATATTACTGACCTTGGAGTTGCGGGAAAGGTAATGGTAAGCAAATTTTCCCTCAAGGCGATACTCATGCATGACCCAGTTACTTTTCTCCCCCTTGGGGGCTCTACCACGGTAGAAAACCAAGGTTTTCTTCATCCCCACCAAAGAGCAAGTCTTGGAGCTGTAAATCTCTCTATCCTTCCCAGTGGCTTTCCAGTAACCAGCTTCAGTGGCCCTATTGGTCCGTAACCCAGTTGGGTACTTCCTGTCACGCAAGCTGAAGAAGTACCACTCTTTCTCACCCATTTTAGCTTTCGCTGCCAGAAACAAACAACCACAAAGTTAGGTGGAAAAAACGACCTCTTTGTGCTCCCACTATGAATGTACTAAATCAGTAATAAGTTAATAACTACACGAGAGAAAGCCAAGAAGAATAATCAGTTGTGAATACCTGGGAGCTCCCATGGTTCACTCTTGTTCAGGTCAACTTCCGCTATGGCTCTACCAGTAAAGCTGCTGTCTAAAACTTTCTTTAGAAGGTAGTACGTTATGAGTTCCTCATCAGTGGGGTGGAACCTAAACCCAGGTGGCAGGTGAGCTTCAGTGTGGTCCAAGTGGTGGTAGGAGGAGTCCATCGGAAAGAAGGAAGAAGGAACACTTGCAAGAGGTGAGAGTGAGAAGGAATTTAATTCTACCAGAAGAAGAGAATCTTGGATACTAACACTCCATGGATTTCATTATATATAGGAAATGAGACATGGCATGGGGAAGCGGAACAACAGAAGCAAAATAGTGAAAGAGGGATTTATAACTCGGCTTGGGCCTTGGGTTGTCACCTTTTTTTTTTTTTTCACTCTCGAGGGTGTGGTGTTTTTGGTTTGGTTTGGTTTGGGATTGGAGATGAAAGGGTTGTTTATAAGGGGTAGTCTCATGGGGATTTGATGAATCGGGTGGCAGCACTAGTGCAAAAAGGGGCTTTTACGTCAGGTATTTAGGGCTTTTTACGTCGTATTTAAGTCCGACGTAAAAGCGGGAGACGTAAATTTACGTCGGACCCTTTTACCCGACGTAGATTTACGTCAGTTATGAAGATACGACGTAATTTTGCGTGGCATATACAATAAACAGACGTAAAAACCTTTTCAATTTAAAAAAAAAAACAGAAAATTTACGTCGCATACAAGTATATACGACGTAAATTTACGTCGCATATTGGTATATACGACGTAAATTTACGTCGCATATACCAATATGCGACGTAAATTTACGTCGCATATGGTATATGCGACGTAAATTTACGTCGCATATTGGTATATGCGACGTAAATTTACGTCGTATATACCAATATGCGACGTAAATTTACTGTTTTTTTTTAAATTGGGTTTATTTACTCGTTTTACAACTAAAACCTGCAAAAATTACAACCAGACAGTCCAGAGCAGTTTTCTTTTGCTAGTAAATTAAAAATATAATATTATATAATTCAAACTACATAATAAAACAAAATAATACAAACATACAAACTAAAAAATCTATTACAAACTAAGCTACCTATACAAACTAAGCTACCTATACAAACTAAACTAAACTACATAATACACACAATATAATATGAACAAGAACATAAAAAATAATGTACTAGAATTGTAGAACAAAAAATTTTGCCCATTGTTCTCTAATTTCGTAATCTCGCATTCTCGGTAATGGAGATGGATCTTGAAATACCCGAAACATGAATTTGACTCTTGTAAGCATGCAACATGAATAAAGTTAAATAAACTTAACTAATGTTAAAAGTAATTACCTCCGTCCAAGAATCAATTAAACCCGCACAAACTATGGCTCTCATCCAATACATTACATAGTAACCACATTCAAACGAGTCAGCTTGCTTATTACACTCGAAATGATGAAAAAAACATAATATTATTTTCAAAATTGAAATATAAACAATAATTATGGTATTCACTTATATAAATAAGTTTCTAACCTTAGGATAAATGAACTCGCAATGTCTTTGTTCTAGGTTTTCCACTTAGAACATTAGTTCCGCATACACGATTCTAAGTGAAAAAAAGTCATATATTATTCAATATGTATTCACAATTTAAAAACATAATTAATGAATAAAAGATAAAGTTACCCTTGTAATAAGCTTTTCATTTCTTGACTCGGTTTCCGATGTAATGAACAAAACCATACCACAGATGTAATCCTGGGTATGATTACAATTAACTCGCCAATGGGACCTACATTGTATGACATAAAAATTAGTTACAAAAATATAAATTAAAATACAAATCAAAATACTAACCCTTCAATGTATGGAGCCAAATATATATGTCTTCTTGAGTCACTCATCCATGTTTGCATATATTGTTGGATTCCAACCTTTGTATTTCCAGATTTTTGGATGGATTGAGGCTCAATAAATCCGTATACTTCGGATTTTTCTTGTTCCACACTCAAATTGTCAAGGTACCTAAAACAATTAATTATAAGTTGAATATAATTATTATAATCTTAGAAACATAAATGAAAATGACTTACATTGCCCACAATTGTATGATGGAAATGTTTAACATGCAATTTCCCCAACGAATTTCTAAAGCATCTGGCAAGGAAATGTACAATGGAACACCGGAATTGTCAATTCCAAACACTCTAACATCCCATTGTATCCGACACTGTCTCTTCCTCAACCGTGGTAATACGGCTAACAACATAGAGATGGGATCATCATCACATTCTGTCAGATCCTCATCAATAATAGGTTGCTTTTTATGCTTAGCACGACGCAAGTCCTCCTAAACAAATGATAACAATTAATTAAACATTTATATAATTATAATACTAGAAAAGAAGTAAATAGACAATATAGCAATCATTAGGACATGCATGTATTTTCTTGTACTCTAAACCCATTGGACATAATATCTTCTTTGCCTCATAGTTACGAATAGGTAATGTATTATCTTCAGGAAGCATCTCCTTCAACAACTCCAATAATTCGGTGAAACTTTTATCAGTCCATCCATTTCTTGCTTTTAAAGTAAACAATTTTAAAGTTGCTGATAATCTTGTAAAACTACATCCTATGTACAATTGTTGCGCAAAATCAGATTTCAAAGAATCATATAGATGTGCTTTCATAAAATGTTCTTCACCAATATCACGTATCATATCCTCTAGATTATCATCCATCCCTTCATCAAAATTGTCTCGTAGTTGACACAGCTTGGGATGTCTAATATTTCTCCATGCCATGTCCATATTGTATAACTCTTAATAATACCATAAACAAACAAGTGATCACGTATATCCTCAAGTTTATGACGAATTTGATTCAAACAACGAACACATGGACAATAATATGTCCCTTTCATAGCTTTTCCATTTTCACTAGCAAATTTCGAAATTCCTCAACTCCCTTTTCGTACTCTTCACTAATACGACGTGCATTCATCCAACTTCGATTCATATTATGTTATAAAGTTTCGTCACTCCTAAAGATTTAAAAATTATATGTAAAAAAAATTAATATACAAACAACAAAGCACGTTCCAACAACAATGGAGTGTGTAAACCGAATGCACTCAAACAAATAAACAAATAACCGCATTCCAATAACAATCCAATGGAGACATTCATACTATAACGTGATTGAGATCCCCAAAAACAATCACGGATTCAATGTAAACATATAGCAATGACAATGAACACTAACCTCGAGTGTAGACGAAAACCGATTTCAAACTCGAATCCAATCGGGGAGAAAGATGAAGTTCGTCAAATGACACGACAATGTAGATGTTTTTCATCGTAAACCGCTCGCAAATGGTGTGCAGAGGTAGCCGTTGTCGTTGTTCTCGTCGTCGTTCTCAAAAACCCCGGTTGCGCGAGACGAGGAAGTGGGCTGGGAGGGAAATAAAATAGACTTTTTACGTCGCGCAGTGTAGTAAGCGACGTAAAAGTCATCTTTACGTCACACCGGGAGGCGCGACGTAAAGATGGCCTTTTACGTCGCGTACGGGGGCGCGACGTAAAAGCTAAGGCTTTTTACGTCGCGTCCCCCGTACGCGACGTAAAGGCCATCTTTTACGTCGCGCCTCCCAGTGCGACGTAAAAGATGACTTTTTACGTCTCCTATTGGGGTGTGCGACGTAAATTTTTTGTCCCATATTTACAAAATTGCCACCGCGTTTTATTTACGTCGAATATACGTGCATGCGACGACAATTGGGTGACGTAAAAGCCATATTCTGCACTAGTGCAGAGAGAAAAAGGTGAAATAATAAGGTATGATATGGCTGGAAAAATCTGTGTTTTCTCTGCACTATCCTCTTCTGATAGCGCTCTCTACTCTCTGACAGGGTCCTCATCATGATCCACATAGCTAGAGAGAGAAATAGAAAGAGAGAGGGTGATGTACGAGGGAGTGGTGGCGATTGAGTATGCGTGCGTGCGTGAGGAAATGTGCAGGTATTCCTTTGTCAGTGAAGAAATTGTAAGAAAGGGAACAGAAAGTGGTTTCATGAGAGATATTGCAACTAAAAAAAGAAAAAAAAAACATAAAAAAAAAACAGTGAAACAGAAAAAATAATAGATGTAAGAAAAATAGAAAAACAATAAAAGAAAAAGAAAAAGTTTATAAACAGAAAAAAGAATAGCTAAATAGAATGCGAGATTTTTCACCGTGTATGTGTATCGATAAAGCTGTTTCATATCTTCTTTGTCAGCAGAGGACAAAAATTGTATAATCAGAAACACCAACCATGTTTATTACACGCCAACTTCCCCACTTTTTATTTATGTATTACTTGGTTCTCTTTTGCTTCACCATTCTCAATCTCAACAACTCTATTAAAATTTATTCTGCCTTCTATGGTTGTGATGACTGTTTACTATTTTTGTTCACGCCTAATTTACTTTGTGTTCTCAACTTGGGATCCCTTAAACAAGACACAGTTAAAACACACAAAAAAAAAAAAACATTCAAAGTACAGCCTGCGTTGTTGCATTTGGTTTCTAACAACTCACAGGAGAATTCTATTATTTTAGTTATGCTTTCACGAAATCCTTTATGTGATAATAATTTTGCAATGTACTTCTGGTCCCGAGAAACCTTTACTGCACAATATTAGGTGTTTTTATAATATTTATTTTTATGTCATTAATATAACAAATAAATTTATTAAGAATAACAAAACGGTTTTTCTATAAAGTTACAGCCACATTTGCTGATGATGACATACAGTTAGTGACATATACAAGACAAATTAATAGATCTCTCTTTTTTTAAGAAAAATATAAAGCAGGAGAAAACTGAGACTATACACAATTTCCTTTTTTCCTTTTAGCCGTAGGGGTGTCATGGGATTATCCTACCTCGTTTTCCCATCATATTATCGGGCATGTCCTAACCTTTCTTGGTATCCGTTGTTAAAATCATATTTAGGATAAAAAAAAGTTATTTTTTTTTCTCTGAGCTTTTTCTGATCATACTTCATTTCTTTGTTGAAAAAAAATAAAAAATTTCACTGTAAAAATCTAGAAGCATGTGGGTTGGAGATTCATATTCCAAAAGAGAAAGGCTCAGAAACTCTGAATTACCATGATCGTTAGCAGGATTTCCATGACATATCAATGGTTGATTGATACATTTAACTGTTCTATCATAATCATAGCTACTAGCGGAAATTTTATTTGCTGGAGAAGAAAATAAATTGCCCTCCTTTCCCAGAGTACAATTAATTTTCATAGCCATCAATTTTACATGACATATCAAAAATAGAAAAGAGAAAAAGAAACAAAGTCCTGAGAACACAGAAAGACTCTTGTACAAGTGTGAATACAACCAAAACTAGAGAATTATTACTGTTATATATACAATCTAATCACTAGAGGGTATCAATATCATGACATGTCAAAGCAACAGCTTTTAATACCATAACATATTTGGCAACCAGATGACCATTCACAGAACAAAACAAATGTTACTGAAAGTGAGTATTGTGCAACTGAGAGAGGAAAAAGTGAAGCAGAAAGAAGGGCATAAATAGCAGAAGATGGATTCATTGATTTTACACCAAGAGGGGCCAATCACCAAGACATTGGATATAATGTCTCACTTTTTGAGACGCCCTTTTCCTCCCTCAAAAAACATTATCCCAAGAAAATATGTGGGAACAATATATATATATATATATATATATATAAAGCTGAAAATGGTGATGGATTGTATTGATTTTACCCTCTTCCACCACAACAAGCAGATTGAATCCATTAAAAGGGAAAAGGGAGCAAAATGGTGCTATCATTAAAAGTTTTATCGTAAATGTTATTATATATGATATGTTATGTTTCATTTTCCACATTTTCTAACCTCGACTAATCATGGGGCTAATTACTACCCTTAAACCGTGCGATTTTGAATTGAGGAATTGGTTAATTGAAAACATGAATGACCCCACTTAGCCATCTCATCCATCCAATCCAATCCATCACTATCAAGCAACAAGAGGAAGGTGATGCTAGGTGGGGTGTGTGAGAGATTGATGCCATGGGAATTTGACACATCATGCTCGGATTTTGAGAGCACAGCCCCAGCTCCACAGGCTTTACATCAAATCAAATCATCTCTTCAATCTGCATGCTGAGGTCTTTCCCTCCCACCCACCCCCTTCTCTCTCATTTCCATCATTGGCTCACTTCTGCACTATCCAATTTCCCAATGTTACAACAAACCCTTTTTTACATATATTACAAAAATAAAACCCCAAATGCAAAATGAAAAATCACCGTCTCTTTTTTTCTTCTAACCGTGAAACAACTTTCTAATAGTAGTTCCCCAAAAAGCATGAAATTCCCCCACAATTTACTCTCAGGACTCACCTACCTTCCTAGATGCAACCTTTATGGCTTGCAACATACGGTTCCTCATGTTAAGTCCCTCTCCTGTTACCTTCGAAATCAGAACCGGATCCGGGTCCACACCCACCCATCCCAGAAACCCAAAAACTAGTTTTTTATATATGTGTATTTCAAGCTCTAAGCATTTTAATTTAAGAAACATGGGTGGTGGAAAATTAAAAACTTTAGAGAGAAAAAATTGACAGTGAAAGGTGGCAAGACAACACAGAAACTCATTGCAGATAGAGACACACTCTTTGTTTGTGATTGATATTGATTTTGATGGACATGGACTGAACCGGCCGGTCCAAGTCCAACGCAGTAAAACCGGGTTGTGTCTGCTTCAGATATAGACAAACGGTGGCGGTTGACTTTTTTTATGGTAAAAATGAAAAAGGTAAGGTGAAAAAGGGTCTCTCCTAATTTTTCCATCGAGTGTCACTGTTCATGTTGCTGTTTTTTGTTTTTTATTTTACTTTATTTTTGAAAAAGAATGGAACACAAAAAAAATTAAAAAGGTGAAAAAAGACAACACGGCGCGTGAACCGAGAGAGATCGCAGATCGCGCGTGACGACAAAGCTTAGGTCATCCCCGCCGCCCTCCGGCTACGGCGTCAGAGGGTGCATGGGTCAAATTTATTCATTTTATTTATTTAACAGAATTTATTCATTTAGTTATAACAAGATATATGCATAATAGTGACGTAGTGTAATCGAAATTATTGATGTTAAAAGTTCTACATAAGGAAGCCTTCAAGAAGTAGTGATTTAGTTTTTTAGTAAAAAAATATTAGTATCGACGTTTTTCAAAATTTAATATTTTCGCTCATTCATAGAAGAATCCTAAGTTTCTATTTTACTATCTAAAGCACTGTAAAGGTGTTGTAAAATGTGAAAAATAATTAACTTATTCTAACCTGTCTTAAATATTATCAAATTTAAAGAAATTTAGACTGTCAGTGATATTTTTTTATATTATTAATAAACTAAAATTCTTCTTCTTATTGTTTTTTAATATTGATATTATAAAAATCATTCATTAAACATTTAGTAGTTGTTCTAACTCAATTATTTGTCGGTTATGTAAATTGCTATCCTACAGTACAGTTGTTTCTCTATCTTGAAGTTTGGCCAGATATTAGGTCATTCAATATTTCATTCAGTTTATGATTGGATGACTTTATATTATCATTACATAATTTTGATATCATATGCATGCACTCTTATAGAAAAAAGTTTAATTATTTTTTCTCTGAAATTTATTTCTTTAAATTGAAAAATATATTTAAATTTCTTAAATTTAATAAAATTTAATTTTAATCCATACATATTAATTTTGAAGAATAAAACCAGTTTTAAAAATGTATTGTGCAAAAAATTAAATTATATTTTAATTTTTTAAATAAAAATAGAAATTTATATTTAAAAGATTAAATTCAACTTAAAAATCAAGATTAAAATTAATTTTACTCTATTTACTAAAATAATTTTTTAACAATAAAGAAAATATTTTTTTAAAATAAATAATTCTTAAATCTTAATAATAAATCTAACCGTATTATTATAATAAATATGAATTTAAGAACTTTGAAAGAGACATAAATACCTATTCGAAGATTGGAAGATGAGAAACTTACTAAAATAAATAAATAAATAAATAAATAAATATATATATATATATATATATATAGAGAGAGAGAGAGAGAGAGAGAGAGAGAAAAAAAGGTGCGTATATTATCTGAGAATTATGAGGTGGGCTGTAAAATACGAAGGTTAATAATAATAATAATAATAATAATAATAATAATAATAATAATAATAATAATAATAATAATAATAATAATAATAATAATAATAATGTGAAGTGGTTGGGTAGGATGAGGTGCGTTAGATTGGTAATGGGATGGGACCATTTTGCGCCGTTTGATTAATTGATTGGGTGGCTGCAACTTAGCTACCATGTACGAAGTAGCAGCACCAACTTGTCGTGTGTCGGTTCTCCACCACTCTCTCTTCTTACAACTACAAACACAACACTGTTTCCAGGTCCAATTGAAGAATCCATATCGTACTTCCAATATAATACTATATAATATTCTTTTATTCAACCTAATAAAATATTTCAAACATCAAAAACCAGATTTTAAAATTACTTAAAAAGTCATATTTTAAAACCTAAAACACCGCAAGTATTAATTATTTCAAAAAGTACAAACCTTCCCACATGTATACTGTAAAAAAAATGTACTTTAGAAAAATACAAATCTAAAGCACCTCATGTAATAACGTATCTATATTTTGTTTTAAAAATTAATATCATAGGAAATGAACGGTGTTGTCATGTACATATTATACAATACCTCTTTCAACAAGTACTGTACAAAGTAAATTGTACTTTAAATCTAAAGTTTCAGCATAAGTGAGACATGAAAAGGTTAATTGATGACAAAAAAGTTTCAACACAATACAAAGTTGGATGACGTTTTTGTCCTGCACGTTTGCTAACTTTTGTTTCCTTTTTCTTGACTTTTAATACCTCACTTTTCATTTAACTATTTTTCTTGAGCTATCCAAAATTTCATCACTTGGTGTTAGGTAGAAAAAAATTAAAACAAAATTAAATTGATGAATAACTATGTTTTATAAAAAAGAAAATATTTACTTCACAACTTAGTTCTTCGTTTACAATCAAACTATAACTACTTATCTAAATAATAATAATAATTATTATTATTATTATTATTGTTTATTAATATTTATAGTGATTAATGGATGTTTAGATTATAAAAGAAATACCAATTCATAATCAACCTTTATAATATATAATATGTTTGTTTTCATTTTTTTTCCTACATAATTCATTATATATAAAAAATATAATTTGTAATTTTACTTTTATTTAATATTTGAGTTGTTTTTCACTTTCAACGCCATAAATTCACTAGTACAAATTATAAAATTTATGTTGTTTGATAGTGACATCATCATTGTTGTATGCATTACAATTTTGACATTAAATTTAAATTTTTAATTATGATTATTAAATATTTTTTGTTGTATATCACTAATAATGACATTTTTATAAAGAATCATTGTTATGTGTGAAATAGATCTCATGTGATACTAGATGTATAAGATTTGTCATTATAGGTGACATATGACCGTTATTCACATAACCATTGTTATATGTCTTATATCTTGTTTGTCTCTCCCTTATTTTTTTTTCATCTTTGTCACACTCTCTCCGTCCTCTTCCCTCTTTGTTGTTGCACCTTGAAGGTCCTCTCTCTTGTGCCACTCATCTCTCTCCCTCGCAGCTATCCTCTCTTCCATGTGCCTTTCCTCTCTCACTCACACATAACTAATAAATATGAAAAAAGAGTTGAAGAATTTTTACTATTTGTAAAACACAACACTTCTACTAGCTTTACTGATGGAAGATTTAGGTGTCTATGTATTATTTGTCTAAATGGACGAATATTAAATGTTGAATAAATTAGGGAGTATATTTTATTTGATGATTTTCTTAAAAAATTTACGATCTGGATAAGGTATAGGGAATTATTAGATTTGTTAGTCGTAAATGAATTTGATGATTTAGTTGATTCAACAATGGATGATCGATTAGAAAACATGATCCATGATGTTAAAGTAAAACCTTTTGCTGAAGCACATGTGTATGAAGATATATTTAACGATGCAGAGACTCTTAAGATTAGTGAATTTGACGCAATCAATGGGTAGATTGATAAAGTTTTACTGAGTTGTTTCAGTTGTTGAAGGATATGCTTTCAAAAGGAAATACACTAGTTAATCGTAATTATGAAGTGAAAAAAAATACTTTGTCCAATGGATATGAAGTATAGAAAGATAAATGCATGCCCTAATGATTGTATTTTATATAGAAATGAGTTTGAAGAGCTAAAATAGTGTCTAATTTTTGGGTTATCTCATTATAAAGTGAAGGATAATAATCAAGATAGTAGTATTGACATGGCAATTGAGAGATCCCCTAATAAGTCCATCTAGTATCTTCCAATAATTTCAAGGTTTAAATGTTAGTTTACAAATCCTAATGATGTTAAAAACCTTAGATGACATGCAAATGAAAGGACATGTGATCGATTTATTCATCATTGAGTTTACTCTATGTAATGGAAGGACTTTGATAACAAGTTTTTTCAATTTGAAGATGAGTTAAGAGATCTTAGACTTGGACTGACTACTAATTGTAGACCTCTAATCTTGTCTGGCCTCACAATAAAGCCAGAAATCCTCCGTTCGAAGATGGACAAGGCTTCATTGGGCCCCTAGTCATGTTCACTAGGCTCCATGTAAGGATAGGAGGACTTTTTGTACACAAAAAATAAGAAAAAATAAAGGAAAATCTGTCAGAGGCTTGAGACGACTACCCCACTTTCCCAGACGGTCATCCCACTTTTCCTTAAGTCCGAGACGACCGTCTCACTTCATTAACACTTGGGACGACCGTCTCGAAATCCAAAACGACTGTCCCACTTTTCTTTGAGCCCGAGACGACCGTCTAAAAATCCCAGACGACCGTCTCACCTATAAGAAGTCCAAATAGTCGTCCCGGCCTGTCTGGCACAATTTCCTATAAATAGGAGTCTCCCCTCCCCCATTTTCACACAATCTCACACCCTTATCTCATCCTAGAAGCTCTCCTAAGACTTCAGGATAACTCTGAGCACTTTTCAGAGTTCGAGTAAGCTTTCCAATTTTCGTTTAAGGTAGAAATCGGTTAAGGAAGTCTCCTTTTGAGACATCCGGCACTCGGTGGGGAGGTATTTCTCTTTTGCTGGTGAGGAGCATGCTTGTAGAGCAAGGGGATTGCCAAAAAGCATCCTCAAGTTTGAAGAATTAATAGAAATCTCGCTTCGGAGGTTTCTTTCTCTATTCTCTCTCTTTTATTGCTTTCTTTTACTGCTTTTCTTGTATGCATTAAATACTAGGGTCATGTAGACATTTAAATTCTGCCAATAGATAAATAAATAAGGTAAAAACATAGTTTCTTTCAGTCTTTATTTTATGAATTAGTCCATCATAGGAAACCCGAAAGGGGCATTGTGGGGTGTTAACACCTTCCCCACACGTAATTAACTCCCTTACCCAACTCTGGTTGTAACGGCCAAAGTTGGGTTTTCTAAACCAACACCTTCTTTTTTTCCTTTTTCGATGTTTATGGTAAAAACATCGGTGACGACTCCATAGAACCCTTTACAAAAACCTCACTTTTAGGTTCAGCCTGGTTATTGGACAACCTAAAAGTGTTGACCACTTCTTTAGAAAACGCGAGTCATCAAAATCATTGCATCGCTTCGACCGCCTCTTTTGATGGCAGCGACAGATGGCAACTCCACTAGGGAAGCTAGAGAGTTGATCCCATTTAGTGATGGACTAAATAAAATAATAATGATTTGAAATTATGTTTTTACCCTTCCTTGTATATACAACATGCTTTATTCTATGACTTTAATAACTGTTGTATGTTTATCTTCTGCAAATTGTTTGAAATAATAATTGTACACAAACATTTGCACATAACAGTTCTCCCTATACCAGGGGGCATCAGGGATAACCTTAGGGAGTGGGTGGCAGGTACGATTTGCCGAGTGAGGGCATTGTGTCCACCGGTATGGTCGGAAACCACCACTCAAGGTGATAACCTTCCTCTTTTGGCCTAAAGACTGACAAGGTCCTAGTGCCATGCATGGTCTGAGGGCTGAGAGAGTGGAAACCCTATAATGGGGGCACCTTGGGGGTCTGGCCTTGGTGAGAACATTAGAACTACCTTGAAAACACACTCTTCTGCAGGATACCCCTACCTCGTAATTAAACGTCGTCATTCAATTCGTGGATGAGTGAATTGTTTGTGTATATGATTGTTACATTTGTTTGATTGCATTAGCATAGCATAATCATACAACGACAAAAACACCAAAAAATCAAAATATATGAAAACATAACAACCTTATCTCGGACAATCTTCATTTAAGCTAGTCTGGTTTCAGGTTCTTTGTAAACTAAGTAGCCACGTTGAGTTACAGAAGAGATAAGGGGTTATAAACAAAGTTTTCCTTAATAAACAACCTTATCTCGGACAGTCTTCATTTAAGCTAGCCTGGTTTCAGGTTCTTTGTAAGATAAGTAGTCACATTGACCCACAAAAGAGATAAAGGGGTAATAACACCAAATAAAAGAAAAAATACAATAAAACTCATTTTGATAAAGTCAAAGCATTCATTTTAAAATAATGAAATTTAATAAAACGATTTTTGACAAAGTCAAATCATTCATACCCTCATCATCGCATAAGTGGTAAAACTAAGAGAGAAAATAAATGCATAAGGAAAGTATGCATACACATCATCCTAATAAAATCTCTTATGCATAAAACACATTCATGCTAGGGAACACTAGATATCCTTAAGAAAAGGGCAAAAGAGACCCAAGTGCGTTTGTGACCTTCGTCATACTTGTCAATCCGCGACAAGGAAGGGACAAGTGTGCTAAGGTGTGTAGACCCCAAATCTTGCCCGGTCTCAAAATAAAAAGCAAAAGACTTTTGATTCGAAGATGGGCAAGGCCTAAAAGGTCCATAGGATAGACCAATAGGCCCCATATTAGGATAGGAAGGTTTTTTGTACGGGAAAATAAGAAATTCCACCTAGAAGTCCGAGACCACCGTCTCGTTTGGCGAGACCACCATCTTACCATCGGCAAAGGGCGAGACCGCCATCTTGTTTGGCGAGACCGTCGCCTCACCACTTGCCAATGGCGAGACCGTCGTCTCGTTTGGCGAGACGACCTTCTCACCAATTGCCAATGGCGAGACCGTTGTCTCGTTTGGCGAGACGACCTTCTCGCCATTTGCTAAGGGCGAGACCGTTGTCCCGTTTGACGATACGACGGTTCCGACCTTGTCAAGCGAGACGACGATCCCGACCTGACAGGCGCGAATTCCTATAAAAGGGGGGGGCACCTCATCCTTTTGATAGCATTCTTCCATCTTCCCTTCTGCAACTTTATCAAATTCTTCTCCTAGGATCCCACCGAAGCATTTTCAGAGTTTCTTAGTATTCTTAGTGAGCGTTTTCTAGTATTGCGAGAAAGAACGATCAGCACTATAGAGCGTGGAGGTTGCCAAAAAGTGTCTTTCTTTACCAAGAATATTAATACAAAAGCTTGCTTCAAAGGTTCCTACACTTTCTCTCTTCTTTTATTGCTTTTTTATTACATCTATCTGTGCATTAGCTGTTAGGGACATGTAGTCAACATTTGAAATTCCGCAAACGAATAAATAAGGGTAAAAGTGTAATTTTAGATTTTTTATTTATAAAATAAACGATCCATCATAGGGAACCCGAAAGGGGCGTCGTAGGGTAGCTAATACCTTCCCTACACGTAACTAACTCTCTTACCCAACTCTGGTTATAATGGTCAAAGTTAGTTTTTCTAAACCAACGCCTTCTTTTTCTTCCTTTTCCAATATTTTTGGATAAAACAATGGTGGAGACTCCAGAACCCTTTTCGAAAACCTTGCCTCTAGGTCCAGCCCAGTTATCGGACAACCTAAAGGTGTTGTAACATCACTTTAAAAACGTGAGTCGAAGACAAACCATCGCGTCGCTTCGACCGTCTTTTTTGACGACGGCGACAGATGGCGACTCCACTGGGGAAGCCTAGAGAGTTGATCACATTTAGTGATGGACTAGTTTACTAAATAAAAGACTTAAAAATTTCGCTTTTACCCTGCCTTGTTCTATAACATGCTTTATTTGCTTGACTTTAATAACTGTTGTTTGTTTATTTTATGTAATTGTTTGAAATACAAACTGTACACAAACCCTTGCACACAACAGTTCCCCCTATACCCGGGGGAAAGTGGGAAATCCATAGGGAGTGGGTGACAGGTACGATTTGCCGTAGTGAGGGTCATCAGCCCACCGGTATGGTCGGAAACCACCAATCAAGGTGATAACCTTCCTCTTTTGGCACAAATATTGACTACGGCCTTAGTGTCATGCATGGTTGGAAGACTGGAGAGTGGGGACCCTATAATGGGGGCACCTTGGGGGCCTGGCCTTAGTGAGGAAAATTAGAACTACCCTGAATATGCACTCTTCTGCAGGAAACCCCTACCTTGTAATTAAAACGTCGTCCTACTTGTTCGCGGACGAGTGAATTGTGTGTCCATTTGTTTGTTGCATTTGATTGCATAGCATAACCATACAACAGATAAAAAATAGAAAAACCACAAAAAATATTTTCGCAATAAACACCCTTATCTCGGACAGTCTACCTTTTAGCTA